AGAGAGAGAGAGAGAGAGAGGGAGAGAACACACATATGCATGCCTGTGAGAGGGACAGTTTTGCAAACGATTTCCTCCTATGTGCCACAAAAGCAAGAAGGCAAAGAAAGTACACTGGAGCCAGGACCAGAACTCCCTTCATTCTTCTGTGTTCCTAGTGGTTTCTACTGAAGTAAATCAGTGCCAGCTGGCAGAGGAGAACTAGTCACAGGGTCCTGCTTCAGTGTCTCAAAGCATAGCAAAGAGGAGTGGATTTGGAGCCAAGGAGGTGTAAACTGATTACAGGCACACTGCTGTTACATGCTGCTACAGAAAAATTAATTAGTTGATTCTGGAGTGCCATCTTAGACTCCCTGGGCTATTGCCTTATACACATGGTATACACACTGTTCTGCTTTTGTACAATCTAAATAATTCTGCAACATATCAGGACCTCAGGGTCTTGGTTAAGGGATCATGGATCAGTACAGTACTACTTTGTTAGCATACGTTGCAAATCTTGGTGTATAGATTCTGAAACTCTGGGGGGGGGTGGAATATGCCTCAAGGTCTTCTGTTTTTGACAATGACCAAATCTGATGACCATCTGGTATCAAGTTTGAAGCAATAAGATACCTGAGCGTCTAAGTTCTTGTTTAAGAAGTGGCTAGAGTGAGGAGACAGATAAGCCTTGGCTCAGTTTGCATAAGGCTTCTATCAAAATACGACTTTTTTTTTTTTGTTTTTTTTTTGCTGTCCTGGAGGTTGAATCCAGGACCTCATGCATGCTAGGCAAGCTACCACTGAGCTATATTCCTGCCCTACCCCCATTTTGGTTGTTTGAGACAATGTCTCACTAAGTTGCTCAGGATGCCCTTAAACTCCTGCCTCAGCCTCCGAGTAGCTGGAACCATCAACATTTACCAGAGCTTGCTTTAAATATGATTTGTTAATACCACTGAGCTTCTGGTGTTTCATTCAATTAGTCCTTTTTTCTCTTAAGAGGGATATGATTTTAATAAAAGGACAGAAACCTTTAGTGAATCTCCACCACAGTTCCAATGACAGGGGCTGCAAACTAAAATACCTATCTGGGTTGGGCATGAAATCTAGAGGAGTAGTATGCAGATTGCTAGGGTTTGAATGTCTCCACCAAAACTTACATTACAATTGAATCACCACTACAGCTGCTAAGAGGTGGGACCAGGTGGCACTGTTAAGAGGTGACTGGGTAAACTATGTTACGCGCATGTACAAAAAAGAGGTGTTTGGGTCTTGAGGACTCTGCCCCGAGGCATGGATCAATCTGTAAGTGGATTAATGGATTAGTGAGGTTACTGAGGGCAGGGCGTGACTTTGTTATGAAAGGGAGCTCTCTCTGGCTTGCTATTTCTCAACAAATGGCACCCACTTTCATTCATGATCCAGCAGGAAGGCCCTCACCAGATTCCAAGCAGATGATGACACCATTCTCTTAGACTTCCGGACCCATGAGCTAGATAAACCTCTTTTCTTTATACATTACCCAGGTTCATGGAGTCTATTACGGCAACAACAAATAGACTAAGACACATATATGAGACAATTGGGAGTAATGGCTCCATGAAAAATCATACAGTACCTACTTCATATAAAGAAGATAGTTGCAGCTGGCTGTTGTGGGCATCACTTGGGAGACTAAAGCAGGAGAGTTGCAAGTTAGATGTCATGTGTTACAACTTAGTGAGACCCTGTATCAAAGTAAAATAAAAACAGTGGGGTGTAGTTCAGTGGTAGAGCACTTCCCTAACTTGTATGTGGCCCTGGGTTCAACCCCTAGTACTATAGGAGGGAAAAAAAAGTAGTTACTCTTTAATTCTGCATATTGCTACCATACAGATCTAATAGTCAGACATTCCAATTTTTCAAAAGAAGCTGGAAATGCACATTTTAAAATGTGAAACTGTGCTAGGTGTGGTGGGGCACGCCTGTAATCCCAGCACTTGGGAGGCTGAGGCAGGAGGACTGCCATGAGTTTGAGACCAGCCTGGGCTACACAGTGAGTTCAAGGCCAGCCTGAACTACATAACTAGACCCTCTTTCAAATAAACCAAAAAAAGGTGAAATTATTAAATTTTAAAACAATAAAAAAGATGGCACAAGATAAACATATACATGGAAGGGATCATATTCAGCTTGTGACTCCTACTTGTGTCCTATGTGCATTGCCCTGTGGTTAAGTGCTGGGCCTTTGCAGTCTTGGACCTTAACAAACCATGCCTCTCTGTATTTACAGGCTTGTATAGAAACTTGCCACACTATGGACTTGGCTACATGACTTGATTTGGCTAATGGGGCAATAGCAAGGGTGCTACAATCAAAGGCTTGACAAGCACTTGTTCACTGAGCCTTGTCCTCTTTCAAACTACTATGCAGAGGCTTGAATGATAAGAAGCCTTGTGGAAAAGGCCCTGGAGGATGAGAAATCATTTTGAATGAGTTCCCAGCTGATTGCAGCCCCACATTTTACCTCAGATCACACGATGTGGGCCCAGCTGAGCCACCCACACAATTGTAAAAAATAATAAACCATTGTTATTTTAAGCTGCTAAGTCTAAGGGAGCTTTGCTATGTTGCAATAGGTAACTGAAACAAAGGTCATTTATCCTAACCTTGTTTTACTACTAAGGTTCAGATAGGGGAAAGAGTCTAGTGAAATTCAGACAGCAAGTTAGTCATAATAACTTTCCAGTTCTGGGTTTTTTCTTCCTATTGCATTTCTTCCAATTTTCTTGGTGAAAAGCACCTCACAAGGACTATGAAACTTCAGAGTATCTTCAGGGAACTTATACCGTGTCCTGAATGTGTACAAATTGCTGTAATAACTTGGCCTTGAAAATGGAAAAGATTTCTAGGTCATCCAGTCACTTCACTTTACAGGTTCAGAGAATGCAAAAACACTTTAGAAAGAGAGCAGCCTCTGACATCTGGAAGCTGGCCTGGTAAAAATCAGCCAGGCCTTAAAGTCACTAGACAAAAGCTTGGCCCTTAGAGCTAGGCCTCGTGTTCTCCTGTAGAACAGAAACAATTTCACAGAACATCGACATCAGATAAGGCCATTCTATGACCATAATGGATCAAGACAAAAACAAGACCGCTTTATAATCATGTCTGAACTCACATAAAACATGAATACTGTCCTAACCACAAAAAATGAAAAAGTACTCTAATCGGGCAAATACCAGGGACTGCTGCTTCTTTACCAAATATAGCATTAGCCTCAATGTAGTATTCCTTTCCTTCAGATAAGATTTGAGATGTCCAATCATAGAATTGTCTGCACTTCGTGACATCATCTCCAGAGAAATATCTGTGCTTCCTTAAATCTCCCAAATCAGCTAACATATTTTTCCCCCCAGTACAGGGCATTGAACTCAGGGTCGTCACACTGAGCTACATTCCCAGGTCCTTTCCCTCCTTTACTTTTTGAGACAGTCATTAAATGGCTCAGGCTGCGGTGGAACTTGCAATCCTTCTGCCTCAGCCTTCCAGAGTGCTGGCATTACAGGCGCGCACCGCCATACTCGGCTTCACCTAACAACTCTTAACAAGATGCGCCACAATTCCTCATGGTGCGTATTTGCCCTCATTGTAACCAGTAATAAATTCAGCTTGTTCAACTACTAGTGTATTGCTGATGGTGGATTTTAATTAGCGGGAACTGACTTGCTGAAATTCAGAATTGGAGGCAGAGTTCACTAGAAGGAGTCTCCAGTCGGGTTCCTTCTTAGCACTGTTATTCTTCCGGTTAATGTGCCCTCCTCCCCCACTAGAATTAAGCTCCATTAGAACAGGGGCCTCATCTGATTTTCATTGCTTAGTCAGTACCCAGTAGTGGCTGGATACTTAAAAAAACATTTTTTTTCTGAGCGAATGAGTGAAGGGGTTCAATCTACACAGGTTCCTTTTCATCTCTCAGCTCCTTCCAGTTAGTGTGGCATACACACAGCTCTGTATGTATCCGTACACTGCCTCTTTCCCAACAAAATCTCCGAATCCCTTTCTCCTGGCATGCTCAACCTCTTAGACTCTCCTCCCTTGGCCAGGCTTCTCTCGCTCGGCGGCCCTCTCTCATACTCAAATCCCAGGATTCTACCTTCCTAACGCACCTAGAACCCACCGGTCTACACCATCTGCCCCTACCACAAGAAACACTAGAGGAAAGCCCGGCCGCTACCTAGGCGTAGAATGGGAACTGCAGACACCGACAGCGCATGTGCGGAAATCGGTCGCATATGCAAGATCTCAGACAAGTGAGGAGTCGCCTTCTAGTTTCCGTCCCGGTTTAGGCAGCCATGGGCTGTCAGGAAGTCAGGAGAAACTAGCCGGAAAAAGAATCAGAGCGCAAGGCCTTCTGGGACCTGTAGTCAAGGTGCTTCCGAGGCCTTATCCCGGCCAAGTCCTTAATTCTTTAGGTCTGCACTCGCAGCATTTACAGTCCAGCGCTCCATTCAGCTCAGAATTCAGTCTCGGATTACCTATAGAGAATGGTCCCGGATTCGCTTTGTGTTCCCACAACGCTCCGCGGGACTCGCAGCGCCTGCTGGGAGTTGTAGTCTTTGCTCTGCGTACTGCGTTCGCCGAGGGGGAGGGCGGAGCTGCCGGCGGCCCGGGCGGGCTGGCAGCTAGAGTGGGTGCTAGAGCCGCCTCCGCCTCCTCCACTGCCGCCTCCTCCGCCCGGGCCGTTCGCTGCTGCGTGAGGAGAGCGAGGCGGGGCCGCCGGGGCCGCCATGGAGCCCGACTCAGTGATTGAGGACAAGACCATCGAGCTCATGGTGAGTGCGGCCCGCTGGACAGTCCGTTCTTCCGTCCGTCTGGCCCCGGCCGGGCCTGCCCACCCCAGCGTCCGGAGCGAGGCCAGCCCCAGCCCTTCCTGGCCGCCTGGGCCGAGGCTCGTGCCCCCCCGCCTGCCTTTGCCTTGGGCCCGGCGCGGTTCCTCCTGATCTCTCGAGATCTCAGGCCGGCCCCAGCCTGGCCCCCTCCATGCCCCTCGGATCGCCCTCTCCCCTTCCCATCTCCGGGCCCATTCCTCGGACGACCCTCGATCGGTTGTGCTGCAGCTTTAGGTCACCCTTACTCTAGCATCTCATCCTCCTTCTTTTAGGAGCACCCCCACCCCCGCCCCGTATTTTTCCGGCCCAGGCCCGCACCGCGCTTCCAAGCTCCACTCAGGCCAAGTGAGGTAGATAGTGGTGGGAGGGCGTACGGAGATCGGCTAGGGCTGCTTGCGCCTCTGCTTTCTAGGAGGGGTTTCAGCACCTTCTCCCCAACCTATGGCCGTGTGGATGCCGAGATAGGCCCTACAGGGCTCCGGTTTAGGGGAGCTCTCGGTTTTGAAGCTGTGACGGATAAGCAGTCTCTTTCTCGGGCCCTGTGGTGTCAGGCTTCTGGACAAAGGGGTTCCTACCCGGCGGTGAGGGATGTTTGCATTAGCAAGGCCCCAGGTATTCTGGATTCCATTCCCCAGGAAAGGGAAACCATAACTTTACGTTTTCCAGAGCTGCTTTGAGAAATGGGGGAGAAGGAGAAAGTCGTCCTCATCACTGCCACCAGTTCTTTATTTAAAAAAAAAAAAAAAGGAAAAAAAATGAGGGACCGCCCCCCCCCCCCCCGTCTGATTTTCCGTAGAAACCAATAGCAGCCAGGCTAGCACCCCTGGGCCACGGACACCTCCGATACCTTTCCTCCTTAAAACTTGCAGCCAGGAGGAATTTTTAGAAACAGGACTGAGTCTGTGAGAGAGTGGCTAGTACAAGTGAAGAATTTGCTAATTGGTGGATGATTTGGTGGAAGAAATAAAATATGGTAGGTATTACCTGTCAATTTGAACATAGGGAAATCAGACTGGGCTCTGGAGAGTTGGGAGGAAGTCTTTGCCTCAGCAAATGGACATTCACAGTTTTCTTCCTGTGGAAACCTTGACAGTTTCTTTGTATCTCCGCTAACACAGTAACAACTTTACTCCAGAGTTGAAAGGAAAGGTGAAAGAATTTACTTAACCCAGCGGAATGTTTTCCTAGCCAGATTTTCTCCAGTGTGAAAATGTTTATTGAGTCAGTGATTCCACTGGGTAGGGTTGGTGACATCAGAACCACTTCCCCCATTTAACACTATAAATAATAAATGGTGACACTGAAAGTCTGTTGGATAGCTGCATGGTTTCTGTGGACGATGGTATCTGGGGAGTTGAGAGGCATAAATACTGAGGTAGCTTAGTATTTGCTGTCTTTTGTATAATTCACAGAACTGGACTTCTGTAGTGTTCTTGAAAACGGGTTGGGGGTGGTCTGGTGTACTTTCTGATTTTTGTTTGCCTGTGAGTGCTTGTGTGGTTGTTTTCATTTATTAATTTTTTTTTTCTTTTCAGCATTTGTCAAACTGGTCAAGAATTTGATATTCTGCAATTTTTGTAGTGATTATTTTGGCAATACATCTTTTTTTGGTAATATATCTTAATTGGAATGTTGTATAATATTACATGTTCTTAAAGATGTAAAATACCTGTCCTTAAAACGGAGTATTTCTGGTTTAAAAGTTGTAACCTGGTATCTCTGAAATAGGCTGTTCTACGCTTCTTCCATTTCCATTCATTTAAAAAGAATAACTAAAATGTATTTCAAATAAATTAGTAGAAATACAGTGTAACTTAAGCCAGTGCCTATGAATGTATGATTAAAAATCTTTGACCTAAATTTACTGGCTTTCTGTACTGGTAATTAAAAAAGTTGTGATTTTAGGGGTGGGGTGCAGCTCAGTGGTAGAGCACATGCTTAGTTTAGCATGGGTGAGGCCCTGAGCTCAATCCTCAATACCACCAAAAAAAAAAAAAGTTTTGATTTTATATGATAGTACTTGTCTCTGGTCTGAAAAGAGATTTTAATTATTTAAGGGCATTATACACTGGGCTTTAAGCAAAGATTCTTAGAAAATTTAAAAAAGAATTTTGTAGTTATAAATTTTAAAACAACTTTTCATTTAAGGATTTTGATATTCCCTGAAATGGATAGCAGTTAAGACTCTTAGACAACTCCTTTCATAAACACATACAGTGTATGTTTATTTAGTACGGTAGGTTAGGACAGGTGCTTAACCGCTGACAGAGTAAATCCAGGATCAAATGCTGGAATGATAATACCCTAAAATCTGATTGCTTGTGGCTTTCTGTATTCACTGACATCTAAATCACGCTTTCCAAAAGTAGGTAAAAATATTTTTAATATTGGTTTCACAATAACATGATTGAAGCAAAGGAAGGGGTAAAGTTGATGGTTATCTTGAAAGCCTACAGCGTGAAATATTTTAGATTTTTATGAGTCAGCTTCAACTCAAGTATTTGTAATTGTTCTCCCTGTACTAGTTTGGTACTTAATGGTTAACAGGATTATTTTCATGTGATATTCCAGAGTGTACTGTATTAAAAAAGGAAATAGACTGCTTAGTCATCTCCATTTCTTAATATTTATCCCTCTTTCTTTGATTTTTCTTTTGAGAAGGTTTTTTTTTTTTTTTTTCCCTCAGTCCTGGTTTAGAGTCTCTCAAATGCTGGGCAAGTGATTTAGTTTTGTTCTGTACCTCCTGCCATATCTTGCACTTTTGATTGGTAGGAAGTAAAGCTAGTTACAGTTGAGACTGGGGAAGTATAGCTTAATAATAGAGGGTGTGACTTACATGCCTGAGGCCCTGGGTTTAATCCCCAGTACCACAAACAAACATACAAAATGAAGAAACAAACAACCTGGAGAATAATTAAATCTCCAAAATTACCCACCCCTGTGACTTTTATTCTTGTGAGGCAGGCGGGAAACCACTGAGCTAAATCCCCAGCCCTGTGACTTTTATTCTTACTTGAGGCCTGGGTCCACAAAAGTATGTCTCCCCCCTGACCTGTATAGGATTCAAACTATGAGCTCTTTTCTTTTTCAGTACCGAAGATTGAAGCCAGGGGCTTGTGCATGCTAGACCAGTGCTCTGGCACTGAGCTATATTCCCAGCTGTTTTATTTTTTGAGACAGGGTCTTGCTAAATTGCCCAGGCTCACCTTTGAACTTGTGATCCTCTTACCTCTGTCTGGAGAGCATCTGGGATTCCAGGTGTGTGCCACCATTTCAGGTCAAAATTATAAACTTGATTGTGACAACTGGGTTTACAATTATGACGAGAGAATAATTTAGCCACTACATGACTTTCATGGCCATATATTGGCTCAGTACTATACCTACCTTGTGGGCCTGTTTTTCAAACTTTTTACTTTGGTAATACCAGCTTTATTATGAATGAGGTAGAAGACTAGTAATTTATTTTGGAAATATACAGAAATTATCAGGCTATATGTAGTTCAGAATGCAAACTCTGCATTATAGATCACATATTTATTAATTCTTGAGTTAGAAATTTGAGTTTATGTTCAGTCATTCATCACTAGCCTCATCACAAAAAATTTTGATTGGAAGGGAGAGATGGTTAGTCCATTTTGAAAGGTAGCGGAACTTGATTTTAAAAGTTTAGGAAGAGGGTTGGGGATTTAGCTCAGTGGTTTCCCCACCTGCTGTGCAAGCGCAAGGACTGGAGTTCGATCCCCGGTACCAAAAAAAAAAAAAAAAAAAGTTTAGGAAGAGTAATCCTGCCTCATCTAGAGGTGTGAGCAAATCTCTTCCCCCTTTACACATGGATAGTTTATACTCTGTTATGAACTATTGAATAATTCTTTGCTAAGTGATCTTGAGCAAGTCATTTCCTTTCTGTCTTATGTGGCTATATTACTTGTTAAATGAAGTAATATAGGTAAAAATACATTAGTCTTTATTAGGAAGGTGTGCTATAAATGCTATTTTTTAGAGCTATTGAAGTATAGGCAGGCCATAAGGCCAAAGAGATGAAAGAAGCTGATAAAGTATTGTAAAGTTCTCTCTTTCTTTTTTTTTTTTTGTACCGGGGATGGAACTTAGGACCTTGCGCCTGCAGGGTAGGTGCGGTGCCATGGAGCTAAATCCCGGGCCCTGCTCTCTTCTTTTTTGATAATTTTTTTCTTCCTTGTTACTGACTTTCTAAGTGGTGAAATGGGAATGTGTGGTGACTCCATTAAGAAGGTGGATTTTTGGGCCGGGGATTTAGCTCAGTGGTTCCACCGCCTGCCTTGCAAGCACAAGGACCCAAGTTCGATCCCCAGTACCAAAAAAAAACCAAAGAAGTTGGATTTTTGCTACCATAACTCATACACCTTCAGTGGTGTGCTAATTGTAGGTGCTTCTTTTTTTTTTTTTTTTGGTATTGGGGATTGAACTCAGAACTTTGCGCTTGTGAGGCAGGCAGCAGAACCACTGAGCTAAATCCCCAGACTACCAAGTGTAGATTAAAGAGATACAGGTTGCAGTAGGGCCTACATAAATAAACCGAATTTCCATTTCTAAACCTCTGCCCAAAGAGGCTGTGGCTCACATATGTCAATCTTTGCCTGAGATTTTGGAGTAGGTTAGATTTTCTTTCAGAGTTGACAAGGATAGACATGTTCCTGCATGTGTGTCTCAGCACTCTTAGCCCCTTACTGCTGTAGTCTGTATTCTGCAGACAGAGAGATAGCCCAAGGAAATTATGAAGGCATTGCATAAATTCACAGAACAGCACATATCCTGCTGAGTAGGGCTGTTTGGGCCTATAAATTCTAGAAACATATTTTTTGCTTTGGGGCCTCTCCGGGTTCCTGAGTTCCACCTTGTGTTATTTCCAGTTTCTGAGAAAGAAAGCATTTCTGAAAATCCTAGTGATTATACTTCTAGTA